TTTTGTCAGTGCCAGGCAGAGCGTGCCTATGTGACGAGCTCCCACACAAACCCCGGCGCCAGTCTCTAGTGGACTTCTCTGGTCTTAAGCATGTCACACATCTTGTCACACCTGGTTGCCGGGAGAACTGTGTCCTCTGTGATCCCCCTGGCCCAGGAGAGGACTCTGGAAGCTTGTGCCTGGTTTCCTCTGAACTTCGCCCCACGTGCCTTTTCCCTTCATGGTTTTAATTCGTGTCCTTTTGCTGCGCTGAGTCTCAGCCATCAGTAGCACCTCTGTGTGCCGGTCCCGGGAGCCTCCCAGTGAGTCACCGAATCCCGACACACTCCCTTACTTAAAGCTCTTCTTTGGTTTCCACTGCTCTTGTAATTAAAGACTCAGCTGGGCACCGTGGCACGTGCTCGTAATCCCAGCGCTTTGGGAGGCGGAGGCAGCAAGGTCACTTGGGGCCAAGCATTCCAGCCTGCAGGGAGCTCTGATCACACCACTGCAATCCAGCCTGGGTGACAGAGTGAGACCCTCTCTCTAAAAAAAAAAAAAAAAGAAAAAGAAAAAAAAAAGACTCAAAAGCCTCCCAGAGGGCTACTGCTGGCGCTGCACACTGCCGCCTCTGCCCACCTATCTGACCCCACCTCTCCTCTCCCCTGCTCCCTGCTCCGGCCACACTGTCTCCATTTAGCCTTTCCTACTCCACTGGTGTCTCCAACCACAGGGACCTTTGCACGTGCAATTTCCTCTGCTTGGAATGTGCCACCCCCTTTCACCTTGTCATCTATCTTCTCCATTTTATTTTATTAAGAGATGGCATCCTGCTCTGCTGCCCCGGCTGGAGTGCAGTGGTGCCATCATAGCTCGCTGCAGCCTCGAACTCCTGGTCTCAAGCGATCCTCCTGCTTCGGCGTCCCGGGTAGCTGGAACTACTAGCACACCTGGTCCATCTAGCTTCTTTTTCTCCTTCAGCCCCCACCCCCAGCATCCCAGCTCACAGGAGCCGCCTGGGCCTCCCCGACACACTGTCACGTGGCCCCAGAGTCCTCTCTGTAGTATAGTGTCCTCCTGTTTCTGTGTCTGAGGCTGGCGTGCCCCTGACCAGACCGAGCGCCCACAGGGCACTGACCGGGCAGCTTCCTGCTCACCACGACCCGTGCCGGGCAGACCACAGGCACTAGGCACACCCGGGTGGCGCAGTGAAACCAGTGTCGCCCGCAGCGGGGAGGCAGAGGCAGGAGGACCATGCAGCAAGCTCACCTACCCAGCCCCTGCCCCTAGGGGGTTTGTGTTCTGGGGAAAACCTATTTTTAAAATCAGGGAAGTCTTTAAATAAGCGTAGAAGCTTTTCCTTCTCTAGGGTGGGGAGGAAGTTTGAGGTTCATGAAAACAACCACTGTGACGGCTGACTGGCTCTGGCGGGAGGGGGCACTTACAGGCTGGTGGCCCCGGTCCCCCCAAAGCTATGTCCCCCAACTTTCTCTCCTCTTCCTGTTGGGTCAGGAACTCTCCTGACCTGATAGACAAGTCTGCCCACCTGGCAAGATGGTCATGAGGCTGGCTGGCGACCGTGTGGGAAATGATGGTTACAGGAACGGATCCAGCCACTGTAGCACCTGCTGTCACCCGAGCTCTGTGCAAAACCCTCACGACACCTCGCAACAACCCACCAGGTGGGGATGGAACTGTCTCCATTTACAGATGAAGAAACTGGGACCAGAGCTGCCAGTGACTTGCCCCAGGTCACACGGCCGGCCAGAAGCACACCTAGGATTCCAACCCAGGCTGCTACCCAAGCCTTGCCCCCTCCTCCCTCTGCCCCCGTGCGGGGTGGGGAGTTTGAGGCAGTGCTTCTCAGCAAGACACCACGTTTCATACCCTGCCTTTCACACACACTGCCACGCACATTCTACAACCAACAACAAAGTTACTACGTGTGAAACACATTTTCCATTTTATTCTATTTCATTTCTTAAAAGGCTGATTGTAGCCCATCAAATGGATTTTAGGGGCCTGGGCACAGTGGCTCACACCTGTAATCCCAGCACTTTAGGAGGCCGAGGTGGTGGGATCACTTGAGGCCAGGAGTTAGAGACCAGCTTGGGCAACACAGTGAGACGCCATCTCTATAAAACGTAAAAAAAATTAGCCAGACATGGTGGAGAGTGCCTGTAGTCCCAGCTACTTGGGAGGCTGAGTCAGGAGGATTGTTTGTGCCCCGGAGTTTGAGATTGCTGTGAGCTATGATGAAGCCACTGCACTCTACCCGGAGTGACAGAGCAAGACTCTGTCTCAAAAACAAAACAAAAAAACCCCAACATGGATTTCAGGATCCACCAATGGGCTGAGTTCTTCGGGGTTGGGTGGGGGTGGGAGTAGGGGACTATTTCCCTACAAATGACTGTCTGCCAAGTCTGGTCCAAAGTCACATCATCCAGGAGCATAAATTCAGGTATTTGTTTTACAAAAGCATAGAAAGAAAAAAATATAGTTACCCAGCTAGAAAGTAAGAGCTATCATCAGTGTCACTCGGTCACCTGGGCCAACGTCTAGTGATGCTTCAGCTAAGGAAACAACAGAGGGAGGCGGCGCCCAGCCACACACTGGAATCATCTGGAAGCCTTAGAACACCCTGCAGCCTGGGACCCAAGGCTCGGAGATGGACTGGAGGGGTTTGGCTGCGGCCGAGGTGGAGAGGCAGCACCTGGCCACACTCTCTGGAGAAAGGACCCGAAGAGCTGCAAGGGTCTCTAGGCACGCCTGGCTCCCGGGCTCCCCGAGTGCAGCGGCTGAGGAATGTCACAGACGGGCTGAAGACCCAGCCGGTCCTCACAGTCTAAGTGCTGGCTGCAGCCCCGCACCCGGTAAGCGCTTTCCCACCCGCACAAGCTTGCTTGATCCTCACAACTCCGTGAGGCAGTGGTACTGTTCCCGCTTTACAGAAGAGGAAAACTGAGGCTCAGAGGCAGGGAGGGCAGGTGCCCACGGCCAGCAGAACTGGGTGCAGGGAGTCCGGGCTCCGCACGCGGCTGCAACTCCCCGCTGGTTTCTCCTACAACACGGCCTTTCCCTCACAGAGAGGAGCCGGACACAATCCAAAAGCTCTAAAAGCAATCCCATTAAAACAGAATTTTTTTTCCAAACACACTTTACCGCATCTCCCCAACAACGCCCTCCCGGGCTGGCCTGTGTGTGACGACCGACAGACTCCTGTCCCCCGGAGTGGCCCACGGTGTGTCCGTGGCTCTGTCAGCCCCCGCTGCCCCGCTGCCCCTGCCTGTGCAGGCCTCTGGCCAGGCTTCCACCCCCCTCCCGGCTTGTCCCTGCACCTCCCAGCTTCGTGCGAGCCCCCAGGCCTGCACGCACCTCCCGCCCAGCCACACCTGCTGCCATCCCCCCCCAAACAGACCTCGGGCCTAGATCTATTCCTTTTAGTATTACCACGGTGAAAACATGAACAGAAGGGAAATAAAGTCAGTATCCCAACACAAACATCCATCATCTAGCGACTTCTCTCTAATCTGTTAGAATTACAAGCACAGAGGGCAGACGGTTCTGTATCTTACTTCTCCCTACCAGTTGCACGCAGACCCACGCCTTTCCGTGGGCAAAACACCCACCGAGGAGTCAAACGGTCTCATCACCGCATTTTTTGACTGTTCCTAATTTTGAGCACCATTATCACCAATGCCAAGAGCACATTTTCTCACGTTTTAACATCTCTGAAATCTGGATGTGCCTTACAATGGATCGGTGTCGGGGTTCCGTCGCCTCGTGTCTCGGGACATGGCAGCACACGGTCTTCCCCACAGCTCATAGAATCACGGCGCACCCACAATCAACGTCTGGCGTGCCAAGACACAGGGTGCCGTGAATGATGCCCTTTCGTTTTCATGGGTTTTTTTCTCTCCCATTAATGAGATGACCAGCCTCGAATATGAACGTTGTCACGACTCTCGACGCACGCAGTTTCCCCAGTTACGTGGGTTGACCAGTTCCTCCCGGTATGGTCGAGGGCGCTGGTTTCACCACAGTCTAATCAGCACGGAGCATTTCCACGTGCTTTTCTGATTCACCACATTTAATAGGGAACTCAAATGAAGGAACAGTATGAATTGTTTTTATTTATCGTTCTTTGGTACTAACTTTCTCATTAACAATACCTGGAACTCAGGGAGTGCCTCTTATTATAGTTGCTGAGATCATTAATTTGATAAAGTGCAAGTTCACCATCATTATCATTCCAGGGTCCCAGCGGCCCTCGTCTTTGCTTCTTGGACTCTTCCCCACTCACCCCCGAGGCTCCCCTGAGCTTCCAGTCCTGCCCTGGACAGCTCCACCCGGCCGGGCCCCCAGAACCTCGGGGAGAACAGCTCCAAAGTGCCCCAATCTTCACAACCAATGTCCCCCCAAGCCCAACAAATCTGCACCCCGGATATCAGGGACAGAGTTTATGGTCCCCCTCGGAATGGCCATAAGATACAGGAGGCAAAGCATTTGCTTTGGAGCCAGGCCAGGTTGAAATTCCTTTTCTGCCACTTCCTAGCTATGTGATTCTGAGTAAGTGGCTTTACTGCTCTGTGTCCAAATCCCGTCGACAATAAAATGGGCGGGAAGGAAAAGCCCTGGACCGCTCAGTCTCCGCCTAACGCTGTGAGCCCACTGTCTCATCAAACCCTCCTGGCAACCCGTCGGGGGCAGAGGTGGTAAATAACCTTTTCACCATTTTCCAGATAAGGAAACTGAGGCTCCAGGAGGTGAAGGCCTGGCCTAATGACACACAGTCATTAAAATGAAGAGCTGGGATTCGAACCGCTTGATTCAGATTATTGGCTATCTTGAGGTTTCCTGAAGTCCTCTTAACGTGTTTCACCTTCGTGCCTTTAAAACTTTGGCACGGTGGAAACACCCTGTATGGGTAATCTCTCTCTCCCCTGTCCGAAACACCAAACAGAATTACCTTCAAGGCTGGGAGTTCCTTTAATGCTACTAGAGCACCAGAATCAATTTACCTTTCCATCCCGCGTGGACATTTTCCTGTTGCTTCTGAGTCTGAAAAATAAGAAAACATTCATGCAGATGTCGTTCTGCCACCATTTGCCTTAGTGTGTACTTTGCAATCCTCTCTTACAAACTAGTTGTAGGTTAAGTTAGTTTTAAAGATGTCTGAAAATAGCATCAAGCTCAAAACGTATGTAGAAAATCATACATCCTAGGTATACTGCCAAAGGGACTGAAACAGGTGAACGGATACCTGTCCACGGACGTTCCTAGCAGCACACCCTCAACAGCAAGAGGTGGAAACAATCCAGGTGTCCTCGATGGAGGAACAGAATGGGCACATCCACACAAGGGGACGTTATTCAGCCGTGAAAACAAATGAAGCACTGATACGTGCTACAACACGGATAAATCTCCAAGACAGTACGCTCGGGGAAGGCAGCTGGACACCGAATGTCACGTAGTATGTGATTCCATTGATACGAAATACCCAGAACAGGCAAATCCAGACACAGAAGCAGAACGGTGGTTGCCAGGGGCTGGGGGAAGGGAAGAATGCGGAGTGGCTATTTAATGGGTACAGGGTTTCCTTTTAGGATGATGAAAATATTCTAGAACTAGATAGAGGTGTTGGCTGCGCACAAATGGCACTGAATGATTCACTTTAAAATGGTAAATTTTAGCCAGGTGCGGTGGCTCATGCCTGTAGTCCTAGCACTCTGGGAGGCCAAGGTGGGTGGATCGGTCAAGGTCAGGAGTTTGAAACTAGCCTGAGCAAGAGCGAGACCCCACCCCCCACCCCGTCTCTACTAAAAATAGAAAGAAATTAATTGGCAACTAAAAAATATAAGAAAATAGCGGGCATGGTGTGCTGCCCTGTAGTCCAGCTACTCGGGAGCTGAGCAGGAGAATCACTTGAGCCCAGGGTTTGAGGTTGCTGTGAGCTAGGCTGACGCCATGGCACTCTAGCCCGGGCAATAGAGTGAGACCCTGCTTTAAATAAATAAATAAAAAATGGTAAATTTCATGTTATGTGAATTTCGTTCCAATTAAAACACATAGACATTGCAGAGTTGGGGTTGCTCTGAAAAGCAGCAAACAATTTAAGTGTCCTCTGCCAGCTGTTGGGTCAGTTAATGTGCATTTGAACAGTGGAGCTGCCACTGCCGTTAGATCTTCATGCGGGTGGGGAGGACATCGGCCACATAGAGAAAAAAGGCATCACATCGCATCCTAGTGTAGGGTGACCCCATCTACGTAGGGGGAAAATATATGCTTTGTTTTTGGCCTGCAAGAATATATGCAAACTCTTCACAGTGGGTTATTTCCAGAAAAAGGGGACTGACCTGTGTATAGGGCTGGGTGGGTGTTTTCCTTCTTTGCTTCTGGGAGGTTTGAACTTTTATGATGACTATGTGTTATTTTTGAAGATTTTTTTTAACATAGGGGCATATGCATGTAGTAAAAAATTTAAATACAAAAAGATATACTATGACAAGTCTCCTCCCTTCCAATCCTGTTCTTCCCTGAAGCAGTCATTCCCCCCAGTTCCCTATGTGGCCTTCCGGGGTATTCTACACCTTCACACACACATCATGCTTCCCCCCACCCCGCCCCCCTTTTTTTTTTCTTACACAAATGTGAGCCCACACACTGCTGTGAACTATTTTCCTTTAGGGAGTGGTGGCCAGAATAACTGCCCCCTCCCCCAGCAAAAGATGCACACGCCCTAATCCCTGGACTGCGTGTGTGACATGACGAAAAGGACTTTGCAGATACTGTTAAGGATCTTGGGATGGAGGGTGGGTCCGTGTAATCAGAAGGTTTTTTTTGTTTTGTTTTTTGAGACAGAGTCTCACTCTGTTGCCCAGCTAGAGTGCCGTGGCATCAGCCTAGCTCACAGCAACCTCAAACTCCTGGGCTCAAGCGATCCTCCTGCCTCAGCCTCCCGAGTAGCTGGGACTACAGGCACCTGCCACCGTGCCTGGCTAATTTTTTCTATATATTTTTAGTTGGCCAATTAATTTCTCTCTATTTTTAGTAGAGACGGGGTCTCACTCTCGCTCAGGCTGGTTTTGAACTCCTGACCTTGAGCTATCTGGCCACCTCAGCCTCCCAGAGTGCTAGGAAGAAGGATCTTTTTAAGTGGAGGCTGGAGAATTAAAAGATGTGAGGACAGAAGCAGAGGTTGGAGTCAGAGAGAGATCTAAAGATGTCACACTACTGACTTTAAGGTGGAGGAAGGGGCCAGTGCAAGGAGTGTGGGCACCTCTAGAATCAGCAAAGGCAACCTAACAACCCCTCCCCCCAGAGCCTCCGGAATCAGCGCAGCCCTGCCGACACCTTGATCTTGGACCACTGAGACCAACTCTGGACTTCTGCCCCCCAGAACTGCAAGATAATAAATATGTGTGTTGTTTTAAGTTTGTGGGCATTTGTCACAGCAGCCACAGGAGACTGACAGTGTCTCAGATCGCTCTGTGCCAGGGTGCTGGACACCAAGTGCATTTCTTATAATGGCTGCACGGGATTTCCCTGTAGCAATGTGTTCGGTTCCACTAGCAATGAACACTTTGGTTGTTGCCCAACATTTTCCTACCCCGATGTTCCAGTGAATAGCCTGGCATACCTGTGTTGCTTCTATAATAATATATTACCATTTTGAAAAAAGTATTCACAAAGGCTTTTTAAAAAAAAAAAAAAAAGTTCCCTCCCCACAGCCCCAGGCTGAGGGCGCAAAGGACTCTCAGAGCGTTCCTTGCTGGTTGACTGACAGAGCAGCTTCTGCAACCAGCAGAGTTTAGCTCTGTATGTCCCCATCCCAGCCTGCTCTCGCCAGAGGGGCTCAAGTGGAACCATCACCTTCCACACAAGCGAAGGAAGAATTAAGGTGCCATGGAGATTTCCTTCCTCCACAAGACAAGACATGGAGCTCCCAAACACACAGAAAACCACTTGGCGTCACCAATTCAAGCAACAGAAAACTTAAACTTACCATGCCCTCCTTCATTAAACTACTCAAAAAAAATAAAAAGGATAAAACACAGTGCTTGTGAGGCTGCATGGAAATTTGCACACACTGCTGGGGATGACTTTTCTAAATAGCCATCTGGTGATAAGTGGCAAGTGCCTTCAAAATGATCATACCCTTGACTTAAACACCTCAGTTTGAAAATTTTATCTCAAAGAAATCATTAGATAGCAAAAATATATATATAATGTAGACAATGATGTGTATAGCTAAGTCAGATATCATGGCTAAAACCTACCAACAGCCCTCAAACTGACTTTAGGAAACAACTGAGAAAGGCAGAGGGATATTAGGAAGAATGACAAATTTGAGGTCTATGTAGAAATATAGGAAAAAAATGCTGTTAAGCAATGAGAAGAAACATAGAACTCTGATGGTTTTACACACTGCTTACAACTGAAGAAACTTATCTGAACCTTTTCTAGGTGCCAGGCACTGTGCTGGGTTCTGGGAACTCCAAGGTGAAGAGATGAGAAAAAGGTCAGGGTCCTGGTGGGCTTATGTAGGCGGGAGACAAGGAACCAAGGAAACAAGATCACACCCCCAGGGCTAAGTGCTGGCTGTTGAGCACGGCTCCTTTAGGTGGGGTGGTCAGGGAAGACTTCTCAATAATTGACACTTAGTGTGTTCCCTGAGTTACAGGGGGCAAGTCACAGATGATTGCGGGGAAGAGCATTCCCAGGGAAGGGAAGAGCATGTGCACCGTGCAGAGGCCCTGAGAGAGCAAAGAACTAAGGAGGAGGAAGAGGCCAGGGTGATAGCAATGGAGCAAGAGAGAAGAATCAAAAATAATCACACCCGATTGGGTAGCGAGCACAGTAGGCGATGCAGAGGATTTGGGGGGTAGGGTCAGGGGCGGCAGCCAGGAAGCCATGAGGTGACAAGAGATGACAGGGGCACGGACTTGGGAGTGGAAGTGAGGACGTAGAGGGGTGGCCAGGTGCAGGACGTGCTTAGGGGTAGACCTTGCTGCTGGCCTAGACTGGGGGAGGTGGGAGAAGATGGCAGAACGGAGGACGCCGCTCCCGGGGTGCAGGCCCGAGTGACTAGCAGAGGAGGTTTGGGGGCAGGAGCACTGGGCTTCCTCCTTCTTGCTAAAGCAGCGGCAGGGAAGGGCTGGGGCTGCAGAGCAGTCCTGGACTTGTGCAAGCCTCAGCCCCGAGACTTTCAAAACCCTGCCCTCACCAGCTCTCCCCCAGGGGAGTCAGAGGCGAGAAGCTGCTGCCCACAGCCTTGGTCTTACCCAAGAAGCGTCTAGAATCTAGATGCTGATGGGGCTCTCCGGAAACACTGCAGATTTCAGATGGTCCAAGGCAGAGAAGTGCTTTCCAAGGGGTGGGGACAGGGGCGCCTGGCAGTAACCTTGTGCCAGGTGCTGCCCTGAGCCTTTCCCCCCAAGCACCGAGTCTTCTCAGCTAGCCTGTGAGGTAGGTACCATGCTTGAGCCCACGGGAAAGATATGGAAACTGAGGCGCCCACCAGCAAAGTCACATGGCTAGGCCTGCAAGAGCCTCCGCACCCAGCAGAGGTACCAGATAAAGGTTGGGGGTTCCTGGAGGGAACCCCTATCTGTCTTGGGGTTTGCCTGCCCCAACCAACCATTCCTGTTCCTCAACACTTGCCCCACGGGGGTGCGTGTTAAAGTATTTCCAGGGGCAGCTTTGCTGGGCTCCTGCCGCCTCTCCTGGGTCCCCGGCACTGCCTCTGCCCTCACTCCCCTCCCGCGGTTTCCCCAGGAGGGCTGTGGGGCAGGGGCGACGACTCAAAGGACTCGGCGTGCCACACAGACCTGGTGTAAGTCCTGGCTCTGCCTCCTTTGGCTGTGTGACGCAAGGCAAGTGGCTTGGCCTCTCTGGGTCTCGGTTACCTCACCTGTAAGTAAGAGACAACGACCGTAGGGACTCCACCTGTTGCTTGGCGCGTGAGGCTGCGAAGGCACCTGGCCCAGGCAGCCCCAGCGTCACAGGGCAGCTCTCGTCGGCGTCCCACTCTCAAGCGGGGATAAACCAGGTCCCGTGCGTGCGCCCCCTCCAGCCACGACAAGGCAGGGGTCCCCGGGAATCGCTGTCCTCACGCGTCGGCTGCGCTGGGAGACGCTAAAGCCCCCCGAGGGCTGGGGTCCGGCTGGGACCACGCGGCAGTGCAGCGGGGACAGGGAGGGCCCGTCTCCTCGGAGGGGCCGGGTTTGGGGGTTTGGAGAAGGGGCTGCACCCGCGCCCGGCCCGCAGCACTCACCTAGCGCCCCGCCCGCCCGCGGCCACCGCAGAGACTGGGAGCCCCGCGCCGCCCGGCCGCCCCGCCCCGCCCCGTCCAGGCCCCGCCCCCGCAGGCCCCGCCCCCGCCAGGCCCCGCCCCCAGGCCCCGGCCCCCTCCAGACTCAGTCGGCGTCCGGGCCTCGGCCGGGCCTGCGTCCCGGCGCCCTGTCCTTACTTCTGTGTGTCCCCGATTGCCTGCAGCTCCCCCGCCCCAGCTCCGCCGCCCGAGCCCGGCCGGGCCCCGCTGTCCTGCAGCCGGACAAAGGTCCCGCCCGTGGGAGGAATCACGAGAATCCTGGCCCGGGCAGCCTGCGGGAAGGGTGGGGGCAGGGAGCCACTTCCTTCCTCCGGCGGCTGGGGGAGGGGCGACCCCCCAACACGCACACGCGCCCCCCACCGCCCTCTCCGGCCCCTCTGCGACTCCCGATTCCTTACTCGGCATCAGCCGGGCGGGGGTGGGTGGGGGCGGATGCTCAGGGCTCCCGCGGTGGGTGGCTGGGGCTGGAGGGGGTCCCTGCTCGAGCGAGGGCTGGAACTGGCCAGAGGAGGGAGCCTTCCCGCCTGTGGCCCGGCCTCCTGCTGCAGCCGACCTGGAGGCCCTACTTTGCAGGTCCCGCTCCGAAGACCCCTCGCCGGGCTTCCCGGCACCGTGCACAAAGTGTGACCAGTTGTGTTAGCTTCTGTCTTCCCCAAAAGACCGCTGGTCCCAAACTGCCAAGGACAGAAGCCATCAGCTGCACAACTCTGCTTCGGCCTTAGCTAAACGGGGAAGAGTCTTAATTCCTTGGGGTTGTACTAGTTGCTCGCCGCTGCTGTAACAATTGCCACAATCCTGCTGGCTCGAAGCAGCACAACTGTGTCGTTTTCTTACCGCTCAGGACGCTAAAATCACGGTGCTGGCAGGGCCGTGCCTCCTGGAAGCTCTAGCGGCGTCTGTTCCCTGCCTTTTCCGGCTGCTGGAGGCGCCCGCGATCCTCGGCTTCTGGCTGCATCTCTCACACCTGCGCTTCCACCCTGACATCGCATCGCCTCCCGTTCTCTTATAAGGACCTGTGATTGCATCAGACCTGCCTGGGTAACCCAGGATAATCTCTCCTTCGCAAGGCCCTTGACCACATGTGCAAGTCCCCTTTGCCACTTAAGGCAAATACAGGTTCTGGGGATTAGGTTCTGCTACTGGGGGTGGGGGGCCTTATTTTGCATCCCGTGGGAATATTGTTTCCTTTTGGCTTCAACTGACTCTGCTGTTCCCACTCCTGCTGGGCAGCAAGCTTCCTTAAAAACATCTTGGTCTAGGCTCAGTGCCATGGCTCACACCTGTAATCCTAGCACTCTGGGAGGTCAAGGCGGGAGGGTGGCTTGAGGCCAGGAGTTCAAGAGCAGCCAGAGCAAGAGTGAGACCCCATCTCTACATAAAACAGGAAAATTAGAGGGAGAGTGGGCATGGGCAATATATATAACCTTAACATTTGTACCCCCATAATATGCTGAAAAAAAAAAATAGGAAAATTAGCTGGGGATGGTGGCCCAGTGGTGAGCCCAGGAGTTTGAGGCTGCAGTGAGCTGTGATGACGCCACTGCACTCTAGCCCGGGCAACAGAGCGAGACTGTGTCTCTAAAAAAAAGTTTTGGTCTGATCTCCTGACTTCTCAGTCATGTATTATTACAACACTCTCACTCCGGTCCCTAAGGCATGGTCTGGTCCATTTTAAACCTCAACCTCCCTATATTTTGTTGAAAACTCTCCTCCTACTCAGAGCCAGCTAGAGAGAGTGGAGTGGGGGTGGGCACTGCTCCCTGCAGCTCCTACTCTGCATTCACTCCCCCCTGGGTGGGGAAAGGAAGAGGGAACAGATCACCTCACTGCACAACTCAAAGCTGCAGTCTGTTGGTCGTGACTAGTTCTGCCTGTACTTGTAAGCTTGGGACAGACAGACGGTGGCCTCGACAGGCTCTGCTAAGGCAAGGCTCAGACTGTGGCCCTGGCTTGATCCTCTGGCTGGACTTGCTGGAGGTATCGCTCGCTATTCTTCCCACGTGCTTGCCTCTTTGCCCCATGTCGCAGTGGCCCTGGGAAAGCCTGTGGCTCCCAACCTTCCCTATGATCTGGGACCTGGGGCCACCAGCAGGGTCCTATTTCCATACTTTTAGGGAACCAGGATCCCCAAGGAACAGCTGAAAAACTCTGGAGAATTTGGTAATGTTCTCAACATTGCTATCTTCACAGAAATCCTTCTACTGTCCAGTCTTTTTGGCAGACAGAAAAAGATCTCAGTGGTGTTACATCTTTAACCCTAGCACAGAGTTTGATACATAGTAGGTGCTTTACATTTCTACTGCATAAATGAATAAATGAGGATTGAGCATAATAAGATAGGGGTGCCCACCACCATCACTGCTACCATTTGACATTGTACTGACAATCCCAGCCAATGCAATAGGACACGAAAAGAAACAAGTACAAAGACTGAAAAGAGAAAAATGATCACTTGCAATCAATGCGATTATCTACCTAGAAAATCCAAAAGACCCGACAGACTAATAATGGATACCCAGTGTGCGGTAGGCAATTTCTAGATGCTTAATATAAGGTGAAAGAACAGCGTTTGTTCTTAAGTGTTCCCATTTTAGTTGGGGAAGTAAGGCCAACAATCCTTAGGGCAAATCCAGGAGGTCCATGAATTTAGGTGGGAAAAAGATTACATCTTTTTTTCATTAATCTCTAACTAAAATTTAACATTTCCTTCAGGTACCAATGTTGGTAACAAACCACAGTTGCTTTAGGAATACCAATAACTTTGTCATTAATGGAAATCATGGGTATTTTCAAATCACAATAATGTTATTGGGGATATCTCAAAGTATAACTTATACTTAGCACTACTTCAAAATTACAGTAGTTATTGAGCCAACTGTTTGTTCTTATAATATGTTAACAAATAACTTCATATATTTATCACAATTTAAAAAGACAAGTCAAAATTGCTTTTTAAGATAACTGGTGTCCTTTATCATATAATGCATTCTGTTTTATGCACTGAAGAACATGACTCTGAGAAGAGGTCCAGGGGCTTACCCAGGCGGCAAAGGCCCCAGCCCCCAGAAAGATTAGGAAGCGCTTTGGAGGAAGGACTTGTCTGGTTTGAGCAATGCCAACACAGTTCTCTTGCAGAGGGAGTGCCTGCCCCTCCCCAGCCTTCACAACTCTTACCAAACGTCAGCCCAGCTTGCTTGAGGATGTGTCAGCCACCAGTGGTCTCCCGTGTCCTGCCTTTTGAAATTCACAGAACATTTTGAGGAAGATGTAAGTAAGCCCTGGGGAGTCTGAGCCTGCTCCTGGGGGGGGGAACAGCTGGGCCCCGCTGGGGCAGTGGCAGCTGCGGCTTTTCCCAGTGGGAAGAGAGAGGGCTGTCGCTGCTGGTTTTGGTTCCTCTGAGGCAGTGTTCGGCCGCTGCAGTTGACCACTTCCCTTCCTAGGGCAAAAGCCGGATCCTGTTCTAGAAGAATGTGAGAAGAGGGAGAGAGGGAACGAAAGTAGACGCATTCTCAGCTAGGGACAGGGTAGGGGTTCCGAACGCTGGGATTTCTCAGAAGGACATCTGCCATCTGGGTCCAGAGACACCTTTCCCAGCAAATCTGATTCGTCCACTGCAGTGACAGCCACAGCACGATATCTGCGCAGGGCTTGGGGACCTGCACGTGATGACGTAGCTACGTGAAAGGGGCATGGCTCATCGCAAGTCCCTTCCCTGATACGCTCGAACGTCTGCTTCATAGCTCAGAATCATGTGGAAGAGTAGAAAGTACGGGCGCGGGCATCAACGAGGCCTGGGTTTGAATCCAGCCTCCTTCCTTTCCCTTGCCGGCTGGGCGAACTTTCATTAATTCAGCAAATGGTCTCTGAGTGCCAGCTACGTGCCAGGCACCGAGAATACAGAGGCGAACAAGACAGGCAGGTTCCGCCTGGCCTCACTGGAGCTTCTCTCTCTAGGCAGGCTCATAAAGACCCGACTGCGACTTGCTGGGCAGGGGCGTGGGAGGGCATCTCTAAGGCGGTGATATTTAAATTGACGCTGAAAGCTGAGGTAGAGCCAAGCATGAAAAGAGAGGGAAAGCCTTTTACAAAGAGGGAGCAGCATGTGCAAAGGGCCTGAGGTGGGGAAGGCTTGCCCTGATAAGAGACCAAAAGGGCCAGAAATACTCAGCCCCTGCAGGGGGCTGAGAGTGGAGACAAGTGAGGCCAGGGAGGAGGGCAGGGGCCTGTGAGAGGGGCCAGAGTTCACACACAGTGTGAGAGGCCGTGGGAGTTTGAAGCAGGAAAGGGACATAGTTTTTTTTTTATTATTATTTATTGTGGTAAAACATACAAACACAAACTTTACCATTTTAGCCATTATGAAGTATACAGTTGGCGGCATTTAGTACAATCACAATGGTGTGCAACCTTCACTACTGTCTAGTTCTAGAACTTTTTTGTCATCTCAAAAGGAAACCCGTACCTGTTAAGCAGTTATTCCTCAGTCCCGCCTCCCCCCAGCCCTAAGAACCCACTATCTACTTCCCATCGCTGCGGACTGCCTGTTCTGCAACATACATGGACTGACACGTACATGTCATGTACAAGTACATGGACTGACAGGTTGCGTGGTCACTTGTGTCTGGCTTCTTTTACTTGGCATAATGTTTCCAAGGTTCATCCATGTTGTAGCATGGGTCGCTGCTCCATTCCTTTTTTTTTTTTTAAGACAGAATCTTGCTGTGTTGCCCGGCTAGAGTGCAGTGGCATCATCATAGCTCACTGCAACCTCAAACTCCTAGGCTCAAGCAATCCTCCTGCCTCAGCCTCTCAAGTAGCTGGAACTACAGGCACGCATCACCATGCCCGGCTAATTTTTTCTTTTCTTTTTGGTATAGACCTGGTCTGACTGTTGCTTAGGCTGTTCTTAAACTCCTGACTTCAGTCGCTCCTCCCACCTCAGCCTCCCAGAGTGCTAGGATTATAGGCGTGAGCCACTGGGCCTTGCCTAAGTACTTCATTCCTTTTATGGCCAAATAATATTCCATTATACAGATATACCACATTTTGCTTATCTTTTCGTCCACTAATATGGTTTGATCTCCCGCCCTACCCCTGTTGCGAGGCTGAGTCGCCACTTGGAGACAGGAGGGACCCCGAGACCGGCGACCCCGCGCCACGCTCGCAGCCACCGCGCGTGCGCGCGAGTTCCCGCGCTGCCTTCCGCCGCGTGGCGCACTCGTCGCCCG